GCTTGGTTTGGCTTTGTTGGCTCCTCAGGTTATCCTACCTTGCGGATAGAGAAGAACGACTTGAGAAGTGTCACTCTTTTGGAGGCCAAAGCCAAGGTGAAGGATATAGCAATATCCAGGGAGAGGGTAACTCTAAAAGATGTACTCCAAGAAGGTATTTATTATCTCAAAGTCAGTTTTTAAAGTATGATTTATTGTTACCCCTATAAACACTTTTTTCAAAAATTTTAAAAATTTCATCTCATTTTGTGTCTAATAAGGATAGGAAGCAGTGTACGATTTTTCTTTTATAAAAGTGATTTTTATTTTCTCATATTTTAATGTGCCTCTTACACCTTTGGTGCAGTTCTTGATTTTCAAGTATATTAAGGCATGTATATTAGTGTTTGCTATGTTTAAGGTATATTCTCTGTTTAGTTTTTATTTAAAATGATCACTATCTGGTAGGTCTCTGAAATATTCTAAGTTGTTTCCTCTGTGTCAGATAGCATGGGGATTGTAGCAGAAGGAACAGACATAGGCTCTGGTTTTGGTCCTAAGTTCTAATCCCACATTTTATTCTCTGTGTGACTTTGGAGAAATCACATAATGTTCTCAATCTCCAGTTTCCTCTTCTATAAATTTGGACTGTGTTGTCAGCTCTTAGACTAGTTATAAAGACTAGATGAAATTAGGTACAGTAAATAAACTAACACATAATAGTGTTTTCCAGGTGTTAAACTCTTCCCTTCCCCTCTCACTGGGCCTTGCTTTCCTTTTTGAGTTTGAGGGTGTTGATAAGGGAGATGCTGAAAGAAGAGGACAGAAATTAATAATAAAATACTGCACTGAATTCTTCATGTTGTTAAATAGGGAGTTACTTTTTACCCACACCATAATTGAATTTGGAATGCTTTGGATACCTATGAGTCCTCCTTTGGTGGTTGGGACACATTTACATCAATCACAGCTAAGTCAGGGACTTAAACTGTCCCCAATAGCATATGGTAATTAATGGAAGCATATTTTCTGGTATGTTTTTTAATGCGTGATTGCCACTTGTTATAGTTGTCTGTTTTCTAAGCATAACTGGTTTGCAGATCTGTTTGCAATCTGAAGAGAGTAAGTAGACCAGGTAGCATTTCCTAAAGAATAAAAGAGAGATCAATTAATAATGTTATATTTGCAGTTTCTTTTGGTCTCTGAGTGGAATGGAATAGGCAGTCTCTTGTAGTGGTATGATTTGAGAAGAAGGAATTCTGAACCTGGTAGCGTTTTTCTTTTTTGGTCTTTTCAGGCCCATAGTAGTTTATTTTAAAATTCTTTTGATTTCAGAAAAGAAAATACGGTGGCTGATTAATGTTTAATCAGGTCAGGTTCACTGGAAATCTGATAAATGCAAATAAAACAATAGTTACATGCTTTTTTTTTTAACGTTAGATTGTGAAAAAGTAAAAAGATAATTTCTAGGTTGACGGATATGGAGAAACACATGCTCTTTTACATTGCTGGTAGGAATATGAATTGCTATAACATTGTGGTAAAGTCATATGTACATATATATTTTTGTATATGTTCCTTACATCCATTGTTTTTAAGTGTATGTAAATCTATGTTTGGGAGTAATATTTTTAAATGACGCTAAATACTGGGAAGAGGAGACGAGATGTTACAGTGCCACAGTGCCAGAGAGTTAAGATGCTCAGTCAAGCAAGGTGAACTTGGGTGGAGAGAGAAGGGAAAACCTTTGTGAGGAAGACATGTCAGGGTTTGTAGCTCTCTGTATTGACTCAAGTGTTTGAAGATACTCACTCAGCTTCAAGCATAATGTCTTAAAGATTATCCAAAGCCTCTTCTGCCTCGAGCATACAGGTTCCTCTGTCTTTAGGCCATAGTGAGACCTGATAGATGGGTACCAACAACTCCACCTCATAGAGTGAAAGGCGTTAGAGCAAGCCTATTTGTATGCTTGCAAGCCTATTTGTATGCTTGCTGTCTGCAGCAAAGTTAAACTATTTGCAGGCTTATCTTTTAAATTGTGAAAGAAGGAAAGTAAACAATTTTCTAGTGAGAAAGAGTAAAATGAGATTCATTTTCAATCATCATCTTGTTTGGGAGCTTTTTATGGGCAATTACAAAATAATAAAATCTGGATGGATTTTAGAAATAGATTTTACTAGTGAACTGAAGTCTAATTGGCTTGTCTGAAACCTTCTGAGGAGTGAGTGGTAGAAGGATTGGAACCCAGGACTGTCTGGATCCGAACCTTGTACCCCTTGGTCTTCCCTTGAAGCTGCCTTTTAAAGCTCTGCAGCAGAGAGGAAAGCTCATTTTTGTCTTTTTGTCATTGCTCTGAGGCTAAGCCTAGAAACTCATAAATGCCCTTGTGGATACATCATTACTGAGCTCCAGTGTTCCTGGCTACATCATTAGTTTATTTAGTATAATTCAGAAAATTTTTCATATACTTAGTTTAGATACAGTGTTGCTAAAAGCAAGTTAAGATGTATAATAGTTACAAAAAAACCAAAGATTTGGGTCTTTTTACTGTAGGGCTAGAGTAATGTTGTTGATCACATATGCCCTTGTTATTTTTGTTTTATATTGTTCCAGAAAGTTTTGTACTGTAATTTTATGAAGGTTATCATATGATCTCATTAAATATTACTTTTCCTTTTAGGTACTTTTGGGCGTATTTTCCATGGGATTTTAATAGATGAAAAAGATCCAAATAAAGAAAAGCAAGCATTTGTCAAAACAGTTAAAGGTAGGAGCTTTTTTCCATAGTATTTCCATAATGCTCTTCTGTCTTAGGTGGCTCATGCCAGCAAAATTCTGTCTCAGTTTTCCAGTGTGTGCCACACCTTTTAAATCAGTCCATGTTAATTTAGCTTTTAAAAGAATTTAGCTTGTATGAGCCTAATTTTTGTGGAAATTTGGGTTCTTCTCATGAGGTATAGAAAAACAGAGTTCAAGACCAGCCTGGCCATCATGGTGAAACCCCATCTTTAAAAAAAAAAAAAAGAAAAAAACAGAAGTCTGCTAAATCAAGACATGAGACATTTATTAGGTATTACTCATTTAATTGCATGTCAAACCACATCCACTTGATTTTGTTGTTACTATATCTAATGTTGGTATACTTTTACACATATAGCCATAGTTGGAATTGCTGGCCTAAGGGTGTGTACATTTAAAATTTTAATGAAGGCCAGGTGCAGTGGTTCACGCCTATAATCCCAGCACTTTGGGAGGCCAGGGTGGGCAGATCACCTGAGTTCAGGAGTTCGAGACGAGCCTGGCCAGCATGGTAAAACCCCATCTCTGCTAAAAATACAAAAATTAGCCAGATGTGATGCCTCGTGCCTGTAATCCCAGCTACTTGGAAGGCTGAGGCGCAAGAAATGCTTGAACCTGGGAGGCAGAGCTTGCAGTGAGCTAAGATCATGCCACTGCACTCCAGCCTTGGCGACAGTGAGACTCTCTCTTAAAAAAAAAATTTAATAGATATTGTTAGATTGTCCTCTAAAAGATAGCACTGATTTATATTGTCATGAACAGAACACCTGTTTTCACATATTCTTCTTCTGGGCCAGCGTTTGAAATGTGACACCTACTTTTCAATTTATTGATCTATATAAGTTATTTAATTAAAGATTCTCTATCGAGATATTATAGTGTTATTTATGCAGGCATATGGCTTATTTCCTATTACTGGTAGATTAAAAAGACTTTAAAAAATATTAGAGTTTTAATTATTTACAACAGATATTTGTAAAAACTTAAATAATTCTGAAGTAAGGGCTGGATGCAGTGGCTCACAATTGTAATCCTAAAGCTTTGGGAGGCTAAGACAGGAGGATTGCTTGAACCCAGAAGTTGAAGATCACCCTGGGCAATATAGCAAGACCTCTGTCTCTACAAAAAATAAAAAAAAATTAGCTGGGTGTGGTAGCATGTGCCTGTAGACTCAGCTACTTAGGAGGCTGAGGCAGGAGGATTATTTGAGTCCAGGAGTTCAAGACTGCAGTGACTCCTGATCATGCCACTGCACTCTAGCCTGGGTAACCGAGCAAGATCCTGTCTTAATTTTTTAAAATGATAATAATAATTCTGAGATAAGTCTTATTTGCTCATTTAAAGAGAAAGAAAAATGTGATAATTTGTAGGATGCTTAATGTCTGCCAGGTCTGATATAAATTGAGAAGGCAAAGTAATAATTGCAGAAAAACAAATTTAGCACTCTCGCTTCAGAAACTGAAGGGAAAATTAAATTCAATTTTATGAGTAGAAAGCGATAAAATTTTACACAGCTTAAGAAGCTAATTTATAAGACCTGTTTCTAAATTTACTTAAAGGAATACATAGAAAGTATGAAGGGTTTCTGTTTATTGTTGGTAAAAAGTTGGGTTCTGCCAATCTAACAAAAAATCTTTGGAATTGCTTTTAATTGAACAGAATTGCTTGTTTAAGGCTGCTACAAATACTACATCTATACTCACACACCTCTTTAATCTTTTCTAAACAAATGGTTTAACTTACTATATCATTCTATATTTATTTTATTCATTCACCCCTTCCAAGCCACAAACACTTTTAAAAGGGTAATATTTACATTAGGTCCATCCCTTCTTGTCCTTTTGGCTAAGATCAGGTATAAGTTAGGTCCCAGTAGGTTTTCTAACTAGTTTTGAAGGAGAGTTTCCATATTACTTTTTGTAAATGTAAAATTTGAACCGTAAGGTTATTAAAACAACAGCCTTTTGTTACTCTTTTCTAATTTTTTTAAAAGGAAACTCCTTAATTCAAATATTTCTTCTAGGGTTTGTAAGTGTTCTATGGACTGTGTGGAACTGGGCTAATATTGACTTGTTCTGAATTAAGGAAGGAGGTTTTCTTTTTTCTTTCTTTTTTTTTTTTGGGTCTGAAATAAATTCTTTTAATTGCACATTTGTGCCTTCGGTTAACTGAGGGGTGAGAAACCTCCTCCTCACTTGCAATCCCAGCTATCTGCATACAATCTAGTGTTGTGGTCTAGCGGTTGACGAGGGGCAGAGGTTGATGCAGGGCTGGCCCCTGAGTGCACCGACATCTTCAGGGCAGGGAGCTCAGACTATGGTTGTACTTACACTGCTTCAGGACCTTGCTGAAGCCCTCACACGGGAACAGGTCACTCTGAGTGGTGGAACAGTCCAGGAACTGCCTAATCTCATAGGCGCAGGGCCCCATCTGCAGGGGCTGGGAGGCAGCATGGGTTGGGGCCTGCTGAGCGGCAGGCTGGGCCCGCTCCGCGTTCCCCCGCTGAAGGCTCCGGTCAGGGCTCCATGACATGTCCCACAGCCGAGCCCAAGACTACCCCTGCGGCCGTGGGTGCCATCTGAGCCATGAGGCCCGGCTGGCCCAAAGGCGGGGGAGCCGGGGCTGCTGCCGAGGGCGGTGAGTGCGCGGGCGGGTCGGTAGAGGGCTCGGTGGGGCGGCTGACTGGCCGGGCGGCCGTGCTGCGGCTTCCCCACGGCATGGTGGCGGCTTCCCCACGGCATGGTGGCGGCGGTGGGACCCGGATGATCTAGAGATGGTGGCGGCGGCAGCGGTTCTGTCCAGGAAGGAGGTTTTCAAACAAAATTGGGTTGATTTAGGGGGGAGGAAGGGATAAAAGGAAATAATAGTGATAAGAAAACACATAGTGAGGATACTTGGACTGATGCACGAGATAAAACTTCTCTTTCTGTATATGCTTGACTAGTAGTCACTGCTTGTTTCTGTGCTCTACCACTGTAATTATGATGTTCTTTCTGAGCTGTGTGGAAATAAGAGAAAGCACAGTGAGCCCATATCGGGGACAGACGGGAAGTGCATTGACCAGGATACTTGCCTCAAATTTGTTAGAGAAAGCATGCCACATGACTGTCTCAGAGATTGATTATTTTGGAGTGCTGATTTCATGGTTTTAGTTGTAGCCACATAGAGCTGACCAAGGTCTTTCACAAATCTATATGCTTTGTTAGATGTTGCACAATTAGAAGTGTAGCATAAAATACAAAAAAAAAAAAAAAAAAAAAAAAAAAGGTGTTTTAGAAAGCACTGACCTTTGCCTTTAGGCATAAGCAGAAAATTGGAGTTTGCCTTTTAAAACTATTCATAATTTTATAGAGAGACTTCATTAGATATTCCAGTATAAACTTCCAGAAATTGAAATTGGCAACCCAAATCTTGCACAGTAAATATAGTGAAATTGAATTCCATAAAATAAACGGATCAGTTTGGGGTTATTGGTATTAAGTTCTTATTTTCTTCATTATAGCTACTACATTTTTATAGTTTTGTAAGTAAGCAAGTGTTTGTTTTTAAAAATCATTTTGTGCATTCTTGTAAGTTTTAGAATATATTTAATAGTATCCCTTTCACATGTGTATATCTTGAAGATAGACCTTTTATTATGTAAAATTAAAAGACTAGGATGAGACTGGGAAAGGAATCCAGCAAAATGAGTTTTTCTTATTAACTGGATAAAGTTATTTTATCTTTAATTGAGTATTCACCATTCAGTTCAAGTGTCCTTTGTTTTAATAGGACATGCTTATCAAAATTAAAAACTTGAAAAATGTATGTACAAAATACACATCCTGAAATTACTATTTGTTGTACGTGGTACTCCTTACCAGTTGAGGGAATGGTAAAGTCTTTTTAACTGGGCGAGGACTTCCAACTATATACTAGCTTTCAGTCCTGAAAAGATCCTACTAGCCCCTAGTAGTCCTGCCCATAATTTCATTAGAAGTTATTTAGGTTATAGAAAGTAATAAAGTTACATTCTGCCATTTATTAAGAAATCCCAAGTTTTAAGCAGTTTTTAGACACTTAGCGTTTATTTTAGCAGAGATTGGTATGAAGCATCTTTTCTAAAGAAGTACCAAATGTTGTAGATCCTTGGCTTTTTGTCTACCCATTTTACGTTCCTACAAAAGTCTTAACTAAGAAAAGTTGCTTGGTAAGGGGACACTAAGTAGCAAGTAATGGAAGTGAAGCAAGAGGAAATGAAGCAGGAATGAGATTCCAATGGGTAGATGTGGAAATAAATGAATTTTGAGATTTCTCTGCTTTGATAGTTCCACATTTAAGGACCAGATGTGATAATCATAGTATCTGAATTCAGTGGACTGGGTTTTATTGTTGGTTCATCATTTTCCTAGGTGAGTCTACAATGTGAATCTTGGCTTTGCCATTCTTTTACATTTCTTTCTTCCTCTTATTACATTGGTCTGAAGCTTTATAAATTATTATTTAATTTATTTATAGACAGGGTCTCACTCTGTCACCCAGGCTGGAGTGCAATGGCGCAATCATAGCTCACTGCGCCTCAATCTCCTTGGCTCAGCAATCCACTTAACCTCAGCTTCCCAAGTAGCTGGGACTACAGGTATATGGCACCACACCCAGCTATCTATCTATCCATCTGTCTGTCTGTCTGTCTGTCTTGTAGAGATGGGGTTTTACCATGTTGCCAGCGTGAGCTTTACAAATTATTACTATTCTTACTACTGATGTAAAAATTCGTTATGGGTTTCTTTGAAAGGGTTTTTAAGAATATACTATTATGTTTGTTTTAACATTTAAAAACTATTTTTTAAAACTCAAACTCACTTCTTATTTGTTTATTTTTATTATGTTGAGAGACGGGGTCTTGTTATGTTGCCCAGGCAGGAGTGCAGTGGTGCAGTCACGGCTCACTGCAACCTTGACCTCCTTGGCTCAAGCAATCCTCCAGCCTCAGCCCCCTGAGTGGCTGGGACTGCTAGTGTACACCACCATGCCCAGCTAATTAAAAACAACTTTTTTTTTTTGTAGAGATAAGAGTCCTCTGTGTTGCTCAGGCTGCTCTGAAACTCCTGGCTTTAAGTGATCCTCCTGCTTCAGCCTCCCAAAGTGGTTTTATTACAGGTGTGAACCACTGCACCTGGCTGAATTTTCTTTCTTTTCTTTTTTTTTTTTCTTGAGACGGAGTTTCGCTCTTGTTACCCAGGCTGGAGTGCAATAGTGCAATCTCTGCTCACTGTGACCTCCGCCTCCTGGGTTCAGGCAATTCTCCTGCCTCAGCCTCCCGAGTAGCTGGGATTACAGGCATGCGCCACCATGCCCAGCTAATTTTTTTGTATTTTTAGTAGAGACGGGGTTTCACCATGTTGACCAGGATGGTCTCGATCTCTTGACCTCGTGATCCGCCTGCCTCGGCCTCCCAAAGTGCTGGGATTACAGGCGTGAGCCACTGCGCCCGGCCTGAATTTTCTATTTTATAATAGAAATATTCTTTTCAAGCCATGGAGAAATTCCTTTATACTGTTAAGGTTATGGTCCATATATGATGAGGAATCCTTGTGGATTTGTGCAAATATTTGAAGGCTTAAGAATTCCTTTGCAGATGTAGACTTAAAGATATTGGTAAATTGCATTATCATGTTTTTGTTTCAAAAAACATTGATGTAAAAGTTCATTGTAGTTCTGTTTTGCTACTTTTGACCAAAAACCATGAGTTCAGAAGCTAAAAAACTAGTGGCTTAATTCTAATTTTGGTTATCATATGAAAGTTAACTTTTATTTTTACTCATGTATTATTAGTTCTTTTTGTTTATTTTTAACCACAGAGAGTAAAAAGAAGAAAGCAACAGAATATGCCGTAAACTCCAATCATAACTTCTGTAGTCATTTTATGCTTGTGATGTTTGTTAGGTTAGAACGTATAAACAGAACAGAAAGGTACGAAATGTAAATTCTCTAATCTTGAAAAGCAGCCATCATATGTAAACAATTCCTTAATATGTAAGAAATATTAAGATATGAAAACACAAGTTGTATCTTGTTTTTAAAATTTAATATACTTTAGAGATCTTCCCCTGTCAGTACCTGCCTCATTTTTTTAAAGTAGCCACATAGTACTCCAGTGTGTCAGTTTAATGAGTTCTCTGTTTTTTTTTTTTTTTTTTGAGACGGAGTTTCGCCCTTGTTACCCAGGCTGGAGTGCAATGGCGCGATCTCGGCTCACCGCAACCTCCGCCTCCTGGGCTCAGGCAATTCTCCTGCCTCAGCCTCCTGAGTAGCTGGGATTACAGGCACGTGCCACCATGCCCAGCTAATTTTTTGCACTTTTAGTAGAGACGGGGTTTCACCATATTGACCAGGATGGTCTTGATCTCTTGACCTCGTGATCCACCCGCCTCGGCCTCCCAAAGTGCTGGGATTACAGGCTTGAGCCACCGCGCCCGGCCTTAATGAGTTCTCTGTTAATGGGTACTTTAGTGGTTGACTTCTTTGCCATTGAACAGTGCTCTTGTTATATTATACATAGATGAGCTTTTGTGACCATATCTGTAACAGAGACTCTTAGCAGTGGGATTGATGATGCAAGGTGTATCTGCATTTGAAAATTTTGTTACACGTTGCTTTCTCCATCTACCCAAGGTACTATTGATGAGCCTGTTTTCTCATACTCGTGCCCAAACTCTTAATAGTAGTTAGCGGATATTTTTATGTCTCAATTTGACAGGGGAAATGGCATCTACTGGTTTAATTTGCATATCTTTCCTTAGGACTGAGGCTATAAGTTTTTTTGTAATCTTGTTATTTGTTTTTTATTTTCTCAGTAAACTGTGTGTTTATATCCTCCACCTCTTTTTCAGATTTTTTCCTTATTGATTTATATGAGCTATTTAAATAGTAAAAAAGGAAGTAAGCAGTATATATGCCTTATGTGTTACAGATTTATTGCATTTTCTGCTTTGTTTATGGAAACATAATTGCATTTCTAATTTTGATGTAAAAATTTCTGGGAAAGTTGACCTATTTAATAGGACTGCAGTAGAATTTTCCTACCTTATCGTTCAAGATAATTATTTACTAATGGCAGAAAATTTTAATGCCATATATATTTAGTAGTATTATTCAAGACAGTTTCTTTTCTTTATATAGATCAAGCTTCTGAAATTCAGGTGACAATGATGCTCACTGAAAGTTGTAAGCTGCGAGGTCTTCATCACAGGTGAGAGGAGAAACCACCGACATTTCAATGTTGAGCATGGCAACACTTGATGCCACATTTTTATTTGCAGAACATTGTGATGACTTCTGAATTGAAAGCTTTGTAGAATAACTTATTTTTTTTCTGAATATAAAAGTGAAATGCATTCTTATTGTACAACACTTAGAAACACAAGAAAGAAAACAAAGAATAGTATGTAAGCCCACATCTGGATAATCATAGCTAATCTAGCTAATCTTTCCAGAAACAGTTTATACTTATTTATGTGCATACTTCCCTTTAAAAAATAGGATGCTAGTATACATATGTTAAAAATATTTGTTGTGAGATTTTTGAATATATAGGACCTCAAAGTATAATAAACATGAATAAATATACCTTCTAGATGCAGTGATAGTTAACATTTTGCCGTATTTTCTGTGTCAGTGATAGTTAACATTTTGCTGTATTTTCTGTGTTGTGTTTGTTTATGTATTATCCATCTTTAT